TTATTAACAGAAAAAATAATCAATGTGATAATAACTGAACATTTGTGTTATTAACAGAAAAAATAATCAATGTGTTAATAGCTGAGCACTAGTGTTATTAACAGAAAAAAGTAATCTGTGATTTTCTTTAGAGTTAACTTATAATTAATAACTGAAGCTATAACCGGTAAGTGACTGATAATAAGGGTTCATTTTCAATGTAGTTCGTTGATGTTAACTCCATCTTCAAAGTACGAAGTTCTAGGTAAGTCCCTGTTTTTGAAAGCGATTTGTATCCCTGTGTAATGAGGAAATTTTGAAAAGTATATAATTTTCAACCACAACGTTTGTTCGTAGACAATGTTAAACAGAAGAGCTTTTAGTGACGTACTTTCGGAAGCTCCGCGTGGCTCAAGGAGGAAAGAAGAAGCCCGCCAGGTTGAGTTTGTTCGTATAGGGCAGGTTAGAATTAATTCATTTATTTTGCCTTTATAGCTCTTAAACAAATCTTTTATTGTTCGGAACCAGTCAGATATTTGTTCTTCTAATTTCATACATAGTTCTTAATGTAATGTATTTTTAATTAACTTAACAACTCCAAATCACTTCCCTGCAGTTAGCGCGTTGGACTGTGAAACTGAAGTTTCATGATTCGCGTTCCGTTACTACCAAAAAAAGAGAAATCGTACTCCGCACTTTTAATTCGTAGGTGCGTTATAAGAGTGACGGTCAAGTCCCACTATTTAGTCTGACAAAAGTAGCCCAAGAATTGGCGGTGGGTGGTGTTGACTAGCTGCTTTCCCTCTAGTCTATCACTTCAAAATTGAGAAGTTAGCACAGATTATTTATGTGTAGCTTTGCGCGAAATCCAACAAAAAACAAGAACACATTTTCATAAAACAATTACACTGAATTATTTTTCACCAGATCATTACGTAATTTACAGTAAAGTGAATGGATTAAGTTGAGTTTCATAGATAGTTAGAAAGTCCCCCGGCGTATTATCAGTAAGTTTACGAACATACATTGCTAAAATCCGAAGTGTTTTTGTTGTTGTTGTTGTTTCTTTGAAGTTAAGCACAAAGCTACACAATGGGCTATCTGTGCTCTGCATACCACGGGTATCGAAACCTGGTTTCTAGCGTTGTAAGTTCACAGACATACCGCTGTGTCACTGAGGGGGGGGGAGGCAATCCGAAGTGAACAGAACTCAAATAGCCATTTCGTGACTTTGAGCTAAAATAAACACACACAAAAAAAAGAATTTGAATATATATTGACATACATATATATATTTGCAATAATTCAAGCATGAAAAATCGGTGAAATTCAAACATGAAAATCATAAGAGTTCAAAGTGAAAAGCAAAACATGTTCGACATTATTAATGTTTCTAGAAACATCGATGCCGGGCCGGTCCAATTTGTAATGACAAGTCATGCTCTTCCTTAACACACTGCATTCAGTCTTATTTTTGCGATATCCTATTATTAATACCTTCAACACACTTTATTAAGTATTATTAAGATAACAAAAAAAAGTCCGTAATAAACGTAAGGGCATCATAGCTGTTATGCTTGATTATTTTAAAACACAAAACTACACAATAGGCTATCTGTGCTCTGCCCACCGCGGTTATCGGAATCCGACTTTATTGGGGTCGTAAGCCCATATACTTAACGCTGAGACACCGGGGTGGGGGTGGGGGCAACTGTTACGCCTCTAAGACTTTTAAACTTATTAGGTTGTCTTTACTAACAGTCATTAAACAAACATTTACTGGAAAAATAATATGGCTTTTTTTGAACTTCAGTTTAATAATGATATAAAATGTTATCCAGTTATTGTCTACGAATATGAAGGATATTTAATGTTACGATCTTGATAGTTAAAAATGATTTTTATCAGTACAGTTAAAGAAATGTTTCAAACTAGCAAAGAGCCTCGAATGTTGTGCTGTTACACAATCTCTGAAATTTGTAATGTACATTAAAAAAAAAACATCTGTAGTCTTGTTTGTTTGTTTGTTTTAAATTTCGCGCAAAGCTACACGAGGGATATCTGCGCTAGCCGTCCCTAATTTAGCAGTGTAAGACTAGATGGAAGGCAGCTAGTCATCACCACCCACCGCCAACTCTTGGGCTACTCTTTTACCAACGAATAGTGGGATTGACCGTCACATTATAACGCCCCCACGGCTGAAAGGGCGAGCATGTTTGGTGGGACGGGGATTCGAACCCGCGACCCAAAGATTGCGAGTCGAGTCCCCTAACCACCTGGCCATGCCGGGGCTCCATCTGTAGTCAGATGTGATTTTTAACAGGAATTTGATAAAGAAGCTTTTTGGTATCCAAAAATAATATAACCTGATTTATACGCTACCTATAAAATGTGTTGATAAAATATGAATAAGAGTGAAAACAACGAATTTATTAAGCAATATTACAGGGGCGTTGATTATGTGTGAATTGTTCTACACACTGTTCACACTCGTTTAGACCTCTGTCTGAATGTCTGTCATCATTCTATGTTTTTTCTGTCTGTTCATCTACCTATCTGTTTATCTAGCTTACTAGACTGAAGTTAATTAGACATTTATGTTGCCCCCCCCCCAGTGGCACAGCGGTATGTCTGCGAACTTACAACGCTAGAATCCGGGTTTCGATACCCGTGGTGGGCAGAGCACAGATAGCCCATTGTGTAGCTTTGTGCTTAATTACAAACAAACAAACATTTATGTTAGGTTAGACCAGTGTTTTCCAAACAGCAAAATTAACATATTTTTTAACTGCTTTTAATATTTTTTCTGAATGACAAAATGCTTATAAGAACTGAATAAATGCGGGAGCAAAAATAAAGTGATTGTTTTGTTAGGTTATCGTCGTCTCTCCAACTCTTCTGTTTTTTCTGTCGTTAAATTTCGTCTCTCCCGCCAAAAGGCCGCGCCCCACAGTTTGGAAAACACTGGGTTAGACCATGGAACAAGGTCACTCAGTCAAATCGATGTATTATTTCCTAATTTCTCTTGAGAAATGTTTCCTCATTTCTTTAGACTTGTAGAAGAAGTTTGTAATGTTTGTTTGTTTACTTTTTTTTTCAGGCTCTTAAATTAGACACTATCGTGAAAGGTGACGCACCAACGAGTCTTGCCACAACAAGCCTATTCAAACGAGAAGTTAGTACCGACATTTTGTGTCTTTTAGCTCATTTAGGAGTAATGGTTTCACCACCGTAATTAATGTTTACGATATTTGCTAATTCATTTTATGCAATTCGATTGTCTTATTAGCACTATTCAATTAAGCTAAAATTGGGTTAAGAAAAATTGACTCTAAAACGAACGATTAGTGTCCATTTAAAATTAAAATGTTTTATGACTCGATCACATTGAGGTTCGGGAAACTTACGACTACAAGCACATTTTGTCTGATAATATATGTTTACACAGAGCAAGATTTTGAAATGTCTTCCCCTGTAGAACCTTACATCATTATAATCGGTAAAGATAATATATACATTATATGAACAAAATATCGCAACTTCAAGTAAACTTTTACTTTAGCAAGCTTATCTTTCTTACTTCGAAATGTTTGGATTTAGAAAAAATTGATTTTCCTGTCTTTTTTTTTTTTTTCAAACGCGACATAGCGGCTTATAGAATGGTTCTGAGTTGTTGTTTTTCTTCTTTTTGTTTTGTTGTTGTTGTTTTTCAAGTACAGATTTTTAGCTCATAGCTGTGACCGATTTGAGATCTAATTACAGCCGCGGCTACTAGGATTCCTCTTCCTTTTGGCTGCAGTTATGCGAAGTGTTTCTTTAAAGGCGTCATTTCTTGAATTTAGTAAACGTTTGTTTTATACTTAAGTTGTTATCTTACAGTATCTCTATGTGTGTGTGTACACTATTTCCAGATCAGGATGTAAAGTGAACACGATAGTCGATTCCGTTGAAATTAATTAAAATTAACATAAAAACTATCACTGATTTTGAGCCTCTAAACCTAAAACCGTACCTGTGATTTAATGCCTACTCTCCAAATAAAACGTTGACACTTGAGACTTGAAAAATCTTACAAACCAGTTTTATCTACAATATTTTGTTCCTAAAAGGACTTCTACTTTCGAAACGAGATTAAGTTTGATTTGGTCATATTACCTGACACGAGGTCGGATCTAACGCATCTAATTTTTTATCTCATTGTATATAAAAGATTATAAAATTGGAACGGCTGTTGAGTGGATATCACGTATTTTTGCATCACATATATGATATTGTAAGATGCCCTTAACTTGCTGATTCGACTTATTTACCAGTTCTACAGTAATTCCTGTACGCTGACTTCGAAAATGATATCCATCACGTACAGATTTTTCACGAAACGTCATTGGTACTTTTACACAAGTAAATCATTTTCATTGAAATCGTGTCACATGTTGTTATGCTTAAAATTTTGACAACCACTGACTATAGATTTCTCTAGACCAATCGCGACGTGAGAATCTCATCGATAGATTTATAACCCAAACATAACAATAAAAAAAATGTTCATTGTGGTAAACGAAATAATAATTTGATCTAAGTAAGAGTTTTTTTTTTCTTCCCGATTTGTAAAAAATCCTTACGTGATAGAAAAAAAAAGGAATATTATTTTCGAAAATTATGGAAAATCCGTTATTAAAACCAAAACAACTTTTATGAAGTTTAAATTCACAAGCCTGTGATATTGTTACCTCTTTACCTATTTTTATCACCTATTTTTATCTGAAAACTCTACACACAATTCTCCTTTAACTTTTACAGCCATGGGAACCGCAATGCTTTTATCCAGATTTTCCTTATGATATTGTGTGCGGAGACTCATGGGGTGAGCTTTTTTTATGTTTTTCTAAGTCTTGTTTTCTTATTATTTTAGCTCAGCGTTTCTTCGTTCCCTTCGAACTTTGACTATATGAATAATGTATTCTTCAGTGTTTAATTTAAAAAAAAAAAGCTTCTTCTGATGAAATATGATTACAATTTCACCTGAAATTCGATTGCTTTTCAGTGTTTACATTTCAACTTATTAACTTTCTAAACGAAATGTTTTTTTGTTTTTTTTCTGGTTTTTACGTTATCGTCAAGATTAAGTAATGAAAATAAAATAAAACGCGGAATTAAAGCCTGAATATGAATTATACCTTATTTTTCATTACCGATTAGAAAAATAATATTCACAAATATTGTTTCCTCTTAACGCCCGAATCAAATACAATTTTCGAGTGCTGATTACTTTAGATTAGCGATTAAAAAACATTAATCTCCGAATGGATAATGTAAATAAAATAAGGTTCAAGAAAAACGCTCAACTTCTCTACTACTGTTAAATATGATATATTTTCTTGTTTGCTGTCTTACTCATTACTAATGAAGAAGGAACAATTCCATATAATAGAAATAAAAATGTACAGGAAATAATAATTTCCTCTGTTTCTACAGGAGAAAATCGATTGGTCTTAGCTACCGAAGCTGGTGCATTTCTATTGGAAGGTAGGGTCGTGTCAATTACTCTTTCGTTCTTTATATTAGGCCCCGCATGGCCGGGTGGTAAGGGAGCTTGACTCGCAATCTGCGGGTCG